CTCATAGCCATAAGGATTCCCAATAGCGAAGCAGCTCTGACCAACATGTATATCTTTAGATGCACCAAGAATAGCAGGCTTTATTTCGTACCCACCAACATCGACCTGCACATGGAACAAGTAATTTTGAGAGACAGGGGCTTGCAGTAAGGGAAAGTGGAAAATGAGTGTTATTGGATTGATCCGTATAGTTCCGTCTAAATCTCTTGATACTTGTTTCAGTATGTAGGAATTGTGGGGTCAGTGTATACCTTGAGAACAGCCAGATCAAATGCGGGATCAAACCCAACTATCTTGCCTTCCCTGACAAAGTTATTCCCCCTGGCATCGACTAGAAACACCTATAGGCAGCAATAGTATGGTGTGAATTTCCGCTCAGAAGAATTGCTACTGACAAAAATGATGACTATTGGATATAAGTGGTTGTTTCAAACAGAAACACTAGTCTCACATTGCCTCCCGCGTTACCTTATTTTGATCAAGTTAATTATTGTAATCATCAAATGATTTAGTTTAATTGTGTTAGGCTTACCATATCCCAATTCATCGTACCATCTATTATCATCATCAATTCAGTTGCTATAAGTAGGAGTCATTCTTCTACTTTCAACTGCCATGCTTATTCCCCTCTACTCTCTACCGGCTTACCGTCACTCTAAAATAACATTTGGTCTATTTAACTTCAGGGGATGCCACAATAAATAAAATTGAAGACGCAGAATAATGTTCAAAGTAACTCATACTGTTTAGACTGCTCCTTTTTCCCCCCAGATAACAACAAAGAGGAAAGACATCCACATTTCCTTCATTTTCCAAGAAAAAACTTTGATGTAATTAACAGCAGAAGGGAAAACCTTACAACGTTGTAAACCACCAGTATCAGTAGCCAATTTAGCAACAACATGGTAATTAGTAACCTGTTCAGCAGAAAAGAAAATTGATGAATTCTAATAGTTTAGAAGCAAATATGTGAAATCAAAATAAAAGAGAATATGTGCATAACGGACAGTCGTTGGTTCCTCATCACGATGTCTAAAAATTGTTAACATGATGCATATTAGTTCCATGGGGCATGGGTGACAAATAATATTTCAAAATGTTATTGTTGAGCGCGGACCTAAGTATACATATGTTAGAAAGAAAGCCCAAACCCAAATGTATACATATTTTAATCTTTCCACTGGATTGAATCAACATCATAACCAGTATTCCTCATCAAGTAATCATAAAAGATGAACACTTCCATGTAATCTAAATGGGGAAAGGACTGGCCAATCACTATTAGTCAACTGATAAATAAGATAAATAAGCACAGTCACATCTAAAAGGTCATGCCTGCGAAATCTAATGTCCACTAACAGTTTCATATGCCAAGGACTAATTTCTTTTGAAAAAGGTAAGGATCTAGATACAAAATTTTAACCTTTTGTAATTAAAGAATTTAAGATTTCAGATCGATTGAATATGCTAGAACAAGGAGTGCTTACAATGTGACCAAATTTATCCCAAATGAAGCCTGAACCAGTTCCTTCAACTTTTGCATCTTCATCCTCATTCAGCATGACTTCGTTAGAGGTCTTGGGGACTTCAGCCAATTCAATGTCTTTAATAAAAACAACCGACGGTGAAGTTTCCTGTGGTGATACGAATTTTAGTTTCAATAAAGCAATGTCCATAGAATGTAAGAAAGAATAGCTTCTAAACACAACTTCAAACCGTACAGTGTTTTCCACTTCTACTATCAATCATACAGACAAAATCATCCAGAAACGACACATGAAAATTGAACATAGAAAATTCTTCAGAAACCCTTTAAACCAAATAAATCCAAAACAGAGTATACATTGAACATCAAAAAAATTCAAATGATTCCAACTTCGAGGTATATGAAGCTAAATCAATGGTATTAACATATTAGCAAAATTAAGTGAATTAGAGAAAAAGGGGAACGTGAAAACGACCTGAAAGAGATGCACGATACGGTCTTCTTCTTGCTGAAGCTCGTCTGATAGAAGCTGAGCAAGTGCGGGCGGCGTTGAATTGGGATTGGACAGAGGGAGCAAAGAAGCGAGTGAAACGCAGGAACCAAAGGCAATGGCTCGTCGTGTCGAAGTGAGAGAAAGAGAAGGAAGGGAGGTTGAAGAAGAGGACAAGGGAGAGAGAGTAGTTTGGAGAGAAGCCAGTGCCATTGCCAACCGTGCCATGGTACTACAGCTCCCCATTGCATTCCCAGAACAAAAGTCCCCGCTGTCTCTTCATTTCTGGTTTCTATGTGGATAAGATGCTACCGCCCACCGGTCCCGTTTGCCATTTTATACGTTGATTCTATATGAGGAAATTAAACTTTAATTAATATAAAAAATTACAAGTGAGTATGTTTTATAAGTGTTCGTTTATTAGAAATTAATTGTTCCGGTCAAAAAACAAAAAGAAATTACAAGCAGAATTTGAACGAGGGGAAAAGTTTGGTGACAAAGATATACTCCTCCCGTCCTTAATATAGGACCCAATTCTTGAGTTGCTTTTGGTCCTAAATATAAGACCCTTTCTCATATTTATCAATCTTCTCTAAATTACCTCTATGAATACTCCCTCAACCATAATCAAGTAAAAGAGGGAGATAGGGTATTAAGAAAGATGATTATGGTGTTTTAGAAAAATGTGTCACTTTTCTTATAATTAACTAATTTACCTAACTTCCTTAATCTAATCAAATTAGTTAAATGGGTCTTATATTAAGGACAGGAGGAGTATTATATTTCCCTGGTTAAAAAAAAGATATATTATATTTTAATAGCTTTTATTTATAATTTTTTGTTTTAATTAATTACAACAACAGTCTTGTTAACAAAAGAAGTAATATTCTATATTTTCTAAAGAACTTGATGGAAAAAGAAAGACCTGTTTAATACTATCTCTGCTCCTTATTTGATTTTTATTGTGATGCTAAATATGAGAACCCAATTTATTTTGTCTTTTATATTTATTTATTTTTTTAAGATAGTTTTTCTAATAATAGTAATTCTAGACTTCTGGCTAATAACTTGATTAGCAAGAATGTTTAAAAAAAGACAATACCTATTTATTACAAATAACCAACTTAACTTATTTTCCTACTCCATTCAAATTAATCAATTAGTTCTTATATTTAGGATTGAAGGTAGTATTCAATTAGCTTAATAGAGTATAAGGTTTTCAGTTTGAGTTTTGAGAATGTAACAACATTCAAACTCTTGAACCATTAGAAATGCTACATCCAATATTCAATATAAAACCTAGTTAATTAATTTGGATTAAGAAAATTAACTAAATTAGTTATTTATAATAAATAAATGTTATATTTCCTAAAATACCCTTATTAATAATATATATTAACTAGAACTATCATTAAATGAAATATTTAACATGTGCAAACTATTTTAAAAAAATGAATAAATATGAAAAATAAAATAGATTAAAATTTTGTATTAAAAAATAAATTAAATGTTAAATTAATTTTTATATTAGATATAGGAGCTAGTACGATAATGCTGAGAGGTTCGTGGGGAAGGCTTTGGGGTCTGAGCATGAGCGGTATGATCATATTACTGCGTCTCTGGGTAAAGTACCCGGTGATGTGTTTAAGGAGATGAACAGGTACGAGGAGCTATCTGAAGCTGCCTGTTGATTAATTGAAAGGCCGTAACCGGCGTAAATTAAACACATTCGGATTTTTATGAACAAATCAAACTCATAAAACCCAATATCACTTGAATAATCAACATTGTCAACATGAATGGCATTACATTCGAACTGCAAAATAAAAGAATATATTTTAAGTACGTTTAATCAATTCAAAAACGCATTTGCAATTTTTATTTGTCTTAAAATTGACAATAACTAGTCACTTTTAAATAATTAATTATTGTTTTTGGAAAAACAAATAAAACGATGTGTAAGAAAAGAAGTTACAATAAGATAATAAGAACATAAACTGCTTTAAATAACTAAGAAAAAAAGGCAAAAAACTAACAAACTGTTAATTAGGATGGTAATTAATTTCATCAGAAGAAAGCAGAAGTTCAAATATCAATTAACTTTAACGCTCCGACTTAACAAAAATAAGTCTCAATCCTAAAGTAGGTTGAAAATATTCTAATAATGCCATGCTAAATAACGTGTGCTATGGTGGGGATGGATGAATGAGGATGAGTCTTTTTTGAAATGCGGGAGATTGATAATACTCTTCCGGTCCTTAATATATGATCTAATTCTTCAATTGGTTTTGATCCGTAATATAAGACTCATTTCTCATATTTATCAATTTTCTCTAAATTACCCCTATGGATACTCCCTTAACCATAATCAAATAGAAGAAGGAAATTGGGTATTAAGAAAGACGATTATGGTGTTTTAAGAAAAATGTATTATTTTTCTTATAATTAACTAACTTACCTAACTTTCTTAATCTAATCAAATTAATTAAATAGGTCTTATATTAAAGACCGGAGGAATATAAATCTTGAAGCTACATAACAAGGTCAAAGCCTTGAATATATAGCAAGAATATACGAAGACACTTGTTTAATAAGAAAAAGATTGAACCAGCTTAATGATGATCGACTAATTGAAAATTGAACTGCCTGACAAATGACAATCCATATTAAATTGTTACAGTATTGGCTTATTATGACCATTGTCTCTTTCCCCGGATTCTCTCGCCTTCCCTCGCAAACTCACACTGTCACTCTCAAAATTGCAATTTGTGGGAAGCAAACGCGACAGCTTTGGTCTCTCTTCGCAGCATTCACGCTGACACAAACAATGACACAAAGTACTTCGCTTCACGTTCTTCTCCTTTGCCATCAGCGACATTCCATAAAGCTCATGAGAACCTGGGCTGTTGTTGTCTCCATAATCTCCAAAACTCTCAACTTGAACCACCTTGCGGTATGGCATTCTCTCAAATGGCTTCTGTGCACCTATTTCTTGTTGGGCTCCTTTTGTTTACTGGTGAAGCGATGGCAATGGGGGTCAGTGTCCTGAAAAATGAAGTGGCAATGGAAGAAGAGGAATTACTGGGACTGTTGCAAGTGATGGGTGCTCTTCTAGAGGACCCCGACTGGGTCCAAGAGCATCCACAACCTTGTACGGACACTCCATGGCCTGGTGTGAAATGCGAGGTTAGTGATGATGACCCGCAAGTATTTCACGTCACAGAGATCCACGTTGGTCCTGATATAGTATCTCCACCTTGTAAATCTTCTGCTTACCTATCTGTGTCGTTGCTGAAACTACCTTATTTGAAAACCCTTTCAATTTTCAATTGCTTTGTGTCTTCCCCAGTCACACTACCCGCTACACTTTTTAGATCTCTCTCTTCCTTGGAACACCTAGCTTTGCAATCTAACCCATCCCTCTCCGGAGAGTTGCCTCCAAGTTTGGGACAGGCTGCCAGACTTGGAGTCTTGAGTTTGTCCCAAAACAACCTACAGGGTCAAATCCCACCACAGATTGGTGGGTTGGTTTGTTTAGAGCAACTTGACCTCAGTTACAATAACTTAAGTGGTCCAATCCCTAAGGACATTGGTAATTTGAAGAGTATGACTATCTTGGACCTGAGTGGGAATGAGATTGAAGGGAACTTGCCTTCTTCTCTTGGGAAACTTCAAGATCTGCAGAAGATTGATTTGAATTCTAACAGGCTTACTGGTGAAGTACCTTCCGACTTGGGAAAACTCAAGAGGTTAGTATTGCTTGATCTGAGTCATAATTTTCTAAGCGGGCCTATTCCGGAGACGCTATCCAGTTTAGAGGTTTTAGAATATTTTGTCATTGATGGTAACCCCATAAAAGCAAGGATACCCTTGTTCATAGGCAACCTTAAAAACCTCAAATCAGTGAGTTTCTCAGGGTGTGGTTTGATTGGCCGCATACCCAATTGTTTTTCTACCCTGAAGAACCTAACTGCTCTCTCCTTAGATAACAATAGTCTCAGTGGACCGGTTCCTCCAAGTTTAGGATCACTCTTAAACTTGGATCAGCTAAATTTGAGCCACAACAAGCTGAGTGGAGTCATAGAACTTCCTGATGATTTCATTGAGAAGCTTGGCGAAAGGTTGGATATAAGAGGAAACAGTGAGCTATGCATAAGCCATCAGCCAAACAAGGAGAATCTCTCATCATACTTGGAAATCCCTGCTTGTTTAAGCTCAAAACCCGGAAATGGAAAATCCTTAACTGATGAACCTCCAGAGGACCCTGCAGAAATGAAGCCAACTCAGTATTCAAGCTTCTCATCATCATGGCTGCATCTAGAAGTCACGCTGTTCGCTTTAATTACTAATTTTGTCATCTACTCCTTTTTCTTCTTGTTGTAACCTTCAAAACTTAATATTTTTATGAAATGCTTGACTCAATCCATCTTTGGATACTGAATCTTTATCTCATTAAGATATATTCATAGGTCATTTTCTTGTCAGGCATCATCTGTGTATAAAGATTTTTTTTTGGGTCAGACTGTATATAAAGATATTTATCTGCTATATAGAGCACACTAAAAAGTATGACTTGATTATAAAATACACAACTTTTAGTAAGTCCTCCTAAGTCCTAATATTGGCCTCCAGCTGTGGCTGGGTTTTGAATTATCCACGAATAGTTTACAAACGAAGTGAAATCTTGCAAAATTGGCATAAAGATACAGTACTGTGATGGTTCATGGCTGGTTGCAAGGGGAATGATGAGATGGGATTAAAGTTTGGACTGTTGTGTTTGATTTTTGTGAGGTTAAGGAAAAAGCTGTCAAGTGTCCTTCTTTCCAAGTCTCAAGTAAAGTGTTGTCTCTGTCGAACTGGGAGGAGTGTGTTACTGTGTGGAGCAGCCTTTGGGAAGGAAGGGAAGGAGAAGCAGAAGTGTCGGTTCTGATATTTAAGAAGCAGGCACACATTATTGTTGCTTGCTCAATGAAAAAGATGCTCACTTTGAGGTTTTTTTCTGTTTTTTTTTGGACTGAGATGCTCACTTTGAGTTTGAGACACTGTTTGGGTGTGGAGAGGGACATAGAGAATCTTAAAGAACAGGTCCCAATTTTTACCTACTGTCTGCTACGCTTTATTGCATGAGCAGCCTGAAAACCAGGAGAAATAATTTAATAATGTGGTACCTCACAATTCAGAAGATTCCTATTTTGCTTGGACAAAATCTGTGTTTTGCTATTCATACCACTTTTGTTCTTCTTCTTCTTCTTCAAGTGAAAAACTGTGTACTAAACTCAACAGAGTTACAAGAAACAACAAAAGAAAAACAACTTCTCAAAACATCCTACTGATGAAATTACAGATTTAAGAAGTGCTGGTATTTTGAAAAATTATAACGCATTTCTCTGCTCCAACACATTAATTCTCCTTCCTTGCCTTCTAAAACCCTTCTTCTCCTAGCTGATGACCTCATAAACTATTCTTCTAAGTAAAAAGTCACCCCCGCAAATTCAACAATCCCACTTGTGACGAGGTATTAGTACATATGCCTCTAAATTAAAAAAAAAAAAAATCCTCTCATTACTTCTCCATCCTCTTCAAGGCCTCTTTGATCTTTCTCTTCTTACCCAAACTCACTTGTCATCTCTGACTCAATAAACAATTATAGCCGTTACTCTTTTTGTCTCCTCCTACAACTTCAAACTAGCAATTGGTTGGAAACGTTTTCTTTCTTTGTTTTTTTTTTTTAACCTGAAATAGTATTTAATTTCCGGTTTTCAATGTTTTTAAAATGTATATTTCTTCTTTCAAGACTTGTATTTTTATTAATTAATTTGAAATCTAAAATATTTTCTTTTAATCTTTTAAACATTTATTTTCGGTCATTTGAATTTGAGCTAAAGAAATAGTTAAATCTAAAGTATCAGGACTTCTGGACCGGAGCCCCGATGGGCCCACCTTTATCCTGGGCTCGGCCCACCCTTTTTCTAGTTCAATGGCCACGATTTCCGCATTGGGGTTCATATGTCATGTTGAGGTGCCCGACCCATACTTTGCTTCCTTTTGTATTTTTTAATGTCCTCGGAAGGAAGAATGAAACGACACCGTTACGGAGGTCAGCGGACCGCGATCTGAATCCCCCAAGCGGATTCACAGCATGAACACTGCGGTTCCCACTCGCAGTTGAAGAAAGAAAGCGAAGCAGAAGAAAGGGGAAGATGAGCGAGACAGAGACGAGGCCCGTCCCAAGGAGAGAGAGTCCATGGGGAGTTTCAGAAGGAAACCATCGTCAACCTAAGGCTCACCGATGCAACGACCGAGCTGAGGATGTCGTTCAGGTACGATTTACAAAACCCTTTCTCCATGCTTCACGTTCTTTCTTTATTCGATTGATTCAGTGCTTTTATATCGCTAATGATACAATTGGGATTTGCATTTTCCTTTTAATTTTCAAGTTTACTGGATTTGCTTTTTACTGATTTTTGGTTTTGGGGACGTTATGTTTTAATGTCTCATCACTAGCTCTCGCATTTACATTTGAGTGAATTTCACATAGCAGATTATGGGAAACGAACGAATAGTTTCCGCTGGGCTGATGGTGTTCTTATTGATCTTTGTCTCTCGCAATAGTCCTTGTAAACTATGCAACGAAATTTTTGTTTTGGGGCTTGATTGACTTATTTTGCAGTCTGCATTTTCGCAATGAGATGATGATAGATCCTGTGTCCACAAGGTCTATGGGAGAGAAGGGGGCAGGAAGGGAATGCCTCCCTTTCCCCTTACCCAAATAGATCATTAGATGTGCATTTGCAGTGAAATAGAGCAGAGACCAAAACATGATAGAGTGAAGATGGTAAACAGCTTGCTTGGGAAAGAAACAAAAAGAATTCACATATGGGATTCAAAATTAGTGTCAGATGCATTTGACTTTGGTTAGCTACTTAGCCAGGGCTTATACCTCCTAATAAATCCTAGTTAATCTTTAAGGCCACGCTCCTGGCATTGGTTTGGTGCGTATAGAATTTTACTCCTGGATTGCTCCCTAGATAAAATTATGGCGGGTTAATTAAGAGAAAAATCATCCCCATCTGAAATCCGAACTGATCCCTTTGGATGTAGTTTTGATTAATTTTTTCTCTTGGCTTGAAGTATGTGTCAATTTCTGCATGTTCTCTTTGATTTTACAAGTTTTCTCATATCTTCTTTATTTGTTTTACGCAACCTCCTTATTGCCATGTGAGTTTCAAGCCTAAGACAGAGCTCATTTCATTTGCTTATTCGTTAGGCTTGCTTTGAGGGAAACCCATTCAAGACAGTTCCCGGACCTTTCAAGCTCTTCTGGCGGTGCATGCGCTCAAAACCTGGGTAAGATCCCCCCCCCCCCAGACAAATATAACCTTTAGCACATCCTTTTGTGCTATACTATTGACTTTGTAAATTACCTGAACATTCAAATCACAGAAACCTATCACTAGTGATATGTAACGTGTGCTTGTGTTATATAGTATGTGCCATCTGCTAATTGCTCAATTAATAGTAACTAGAAGTCTAGAACTCTTGAAACTTGCAGTGCTAGCTTGAAGGGCTGAGACTGCCCTTCACATTTCAATTCATATTTACGTTTCTTGTCTTTGCCATGAAGTTTTTCCATTTACATCATGTTTTTCGCTTTATGGCACTGCTTATGACATGTTTGGCAATTGCAGGGAAGAACCAACAGAGCCTTATACTTATTTGCAGTTGGATCCTCCAAAGAGAGAGGTGAAACTTGAGTAGTGAAGCTTCTACAAAGGCCTTAAGAACAAGTTCGGCCGTGAGTTTCTTATGAGATCCATAAATTTCAACTGCTGCTTGATTGTGGATGAAAATTCAAGTAGTTCGGGCATCAGTGAAGCTACTGGTTTTTTTTTTTTTTTTTTCATTTTTGACTGCAAAAATGTCGTATAATTAGGTTTTTTTTGGGGGGGGGGGGGCATCAGTTTTTACACCTCTCCTATTTTCTTGAATACAAACTAGACACCCTGTGCCTATTTGTTCTACTGCTGGAACTTGCTTTCCCAATAAAACTTGCCAATGATAATCTAATGAAAAATCTTTGATGGTACCGGTTTTATTTCGAGTTCATTTCATTGGATGTCATATATTGCAAGCCTCATATTTTTCCCAAATTAAAAGCCCTGAACTACATAAATCCTATGGCTCACCCTCACCCAGTGCATCTCATGACTACATGTAAGCTGCAGAGTTGAGTGAAGTAGTTCTTCCTAACTTTGGCAATAATACTAGGAAAATCCCATTCAATGACTTGTTCAAAACTCAAATATATCTCAACACCCAATTATATGCCCCATTTCTAGTTTCATTCTGATCGGGATATTTAGATTTCCAATATGTTCAAGGCCACAAGGGCCATATCCGAGGAGCCATTCCTCTCAGGCCATGATAGTCTTGGCCAGTACTGGAAAGTGGAAACCCCACATTTATGTTATCAAAAAGACAAAAAGGTCATAGATACGCACGGAATGGGGATGTGCCAACCGCCCAAATGGTGCGACAATGATGAAGCCAAGTCACTCCTCCATCCAGTCCTAATTATAAATTAGAGCTATTGTGGTGTAAACTGTTATTTCATTAAAAAAAAAAAGTATATATATTAAATAGGAGTAAAATTTTAAAAAAATAAATTTTAAAACAAGGTTAATGAAATTTTTTTTAATTTTAATAAAACATACTGTAAATGACTTATAAATAAAATTATAAGAATGTGCACAAGTAGTATTTTTTGGACTTGATACTCCTCCGGTCCTTAATATAAGACCCATTTAACTAATTTGATTATATTAATGATGTTAGTTAAGTTAGTTAATTATAAGAAATGTCACATGTTTTTCTTAAAATATCATAATCATCTTTCTTAATACCTAATCTTCTTCTACTACTTGATTATGGTTGAGGGAGTCTCTATAGGGGTAATTTAGAGAAAATTGATAAATATGAGAAATGGGTCTTACATTTAGGACTAAAACTAACTCAACAATTAGGTCTTATATTAAAGACCGGAGGAATAACTTGTAATCAATTATAGGAAAGTGACTCACATGTATGTTCTCATACAGATTAATTAAATATCATCAATAGTTGATTTGTGACATTCAATTCTGGCTCAAATTAAAATCCATTTCAATTTTAGTAAAATATTTCTTATTTTTATATCATGTTATCCTTCATTCATTAAAATAATAATATTAATAGGTGGAATTAAAGTTTGACGATATTTTATAATAGGTTAAAGTATACATTTAGTCCTTTAACTTTATATAAGATTTTAATTTGGTCTTTTAACTTTAAAAAGTATATTTTTAGTCATTTAACCCTGATTTTTAAAAAAAAATGATGATATT